AGCTAGAGCCAATAACTAAATCTCATTCTACAATTTGTCATCGCGTGTGCACTTCATAACATAGTAGCACTTGAAGAGTCCAAGCATCGTCTTGTCAACCATCCTCTGCCTGGACCATCGTGCCCAAACCCTACGTCAAAGTCCCGATGGAAGAGACCACCGTGCCCAAGACTTTTGGTGAGCTCCTCGAAGCCCTCAACGAACAACAAGTAAACTTCCAAGCCATCATGCAGCAGCAACTTGCTATGAGTGAGGCGCGGCTCGACGCGCTAGCTACAAAACCTGCGTCGGCAAGGAAGGCCCAGCCTCCAACCTACCAAGGAAAGCTAAGTGAAGATTTAGAACTCTGGTTTTTCACAATTGATCATTACTACGCTGATTACCATCCTCAGATGGTGGAGGACTCATCACTGTTCGTCACGATGATTTCCTGCCATCTGAGAGTGACACCGATGAGCTGGTTTCGACAGTTTTCCTCGGAGTGTGACTCCTCTGGACGCACAAAATCATTGGCATTTCTTCAAGGCATCAATGCGCCGGCGCTTTTTACCTCCTGACAATGAGTACATTCTTCGCGAACGTCTCTTGTCCCTCATGCAAACTGGCAGCCTATATGAGGGAAAAACTAACGAGGGCCCTCACACAAAACGTGCAGTGGAATAGTCAGGTGGGATAGTCAGTAAGTACCAATTTCTTACCGATTTATTGATGTAGACGAAATAATGTAGACAAACTGTAGACGAACCACGAAAGGTTGTCAAATACAAAGAGTTCAGTAATGAGCGATACCGGCCCTCAACGCGTTGTCATCTTACCTCTACCACAATCAGTGTACGCCTCTCATGACCTAACTGAAGATGCGTTGCATCAGTGGACTAAAGATCACGGGTTCAACCTTTCACGGCGCCGAGTTCGGTACACAGATGAAGCTGAGAGAAAGGTGTGGGCACGGAACTATGAGTGTGATCGCTCCGGAGCCGTCAAGAACACTGGGCACTTGACTGAAGAGACCCGGACGCGCACCATGCGAGGTTCAAAACGTTCAGGATGCCCCATGTGCATGCTGTCAGTAAGACAGATACTGAAGGGCATTGGAAGATTGTTCACACGTCACGAAGCATTCACCACAATCACGAACCGTCCCGGGACATTTGTGCTCATGCTGCTGTCAGGCGCCGTGCTGCCCACAAGTCCCAGGAACAAACGTCGGTGATCACGTCCGACCTGGTGGAGATCCAGACTGCTGCAGGGGTTACTGTGTCAACAATTCAAGCCACGCTTCTAAGTGCCGATCGAGGCTCTCTCGTGATTGCCAAGGACATCGCCAACACAAAGAGTGCTGTGCGAAGGCGTGACCTAGCCTCTCATATAGCGATAGAAACTCTATTCGTTGAGCTTCGAAAGCACAACTTCTTTCACAAGTGGTGTTTCAATCCCGAAACAAGCGAGTTAACCACCTCATATGGGCTCACCCGGACACCACTGAGCTTTTCAAGCTTCACCATGATGTGTTAGTTGCCGACTGCACCTACAAGACGAACAAGCATCGCATCCCGCTGCTCAACATCATTGTGAAAACCGGAGCTAATACGGTTCTTCCTGTGGCTCAATGCTGGCTTCCTGGAGAGAAAGAGGGAGATTTCGTGTGGGCTTTTAACATGCTACGGTTCTTCATGATTGAGAACGATATTGAACCTCCCAATGTTATTATCACTGATCAAGATCTAGCCTGTCTGAATTCACTG